AATCATATGAAACGAAAGAAAGCACCGATTGTGACTTGCAACGAATGACAATGACACTGGGAACTTCATCAGCAGGCGAATCCGAGAAACGCCCACGAAAAGGATTACTTGTTAGAATAATGGCGCCCCTGCAGCCGCCAATGAAAATAATTTCCGTTGACAAGATTTGATTTGGCGACACGGGGCTCTTGTTATTTACAGCTTATTGTTTTAGGAGGTGTTATTGTTGGCTACTTTATGAAACAAGTTATTATTAATATGTCATCGAAATCAACATAAATTTTCAAAATCGGACATTTTGTCACTGGTGGCGTTAGCTTGTTGACTTTATCGCTTAATGCCATCTGTACTTCATAGGGAAATTGATGGTATTTTTAACTAAATCTTAAGATTCAACTGAATGCGTCAGCATGATGAGATCGTCAATATATTGTTTATTTAATTTTATAAAAATACTAAAACAGCTTCGCTACTGAAGGACTTTTCCAACTTAGAAAAAATTGAAATATCTCCGTTTAAATGCTTTTCAAAGCAATGACAAAATACATGCGTGACGTCCGTGTGTATAAATCCACCGTAAGCTCACCAACTAGATTGCGGTTGACACTTTAATGCTTATGTAATTAATAAAATAATGCAGTGGACAAGCACTACAAGTTTGTGGAAAATCTCTTTCGTGCAAAATAAAATTATGTGAAATAAGAAAACTTGAGTGGGGTTTACTAAAAAAAATAAACCATAATACATACTACGTAGATTTAAAAAGTAGTGCGGTGCCCAGTGAGTTTAGTAGAAAACTCGAAGTAAGAACTATTTACTCTTTTAACTACTGCCCTTCATTAACTAATTCAGAATTGTCGTATTTTTTATAATTTTCTGTGATATTATTTTGCCAGAGGTAACTGAAGTTATCGTCACCTCTGAAATGCAATGACAAGCATAGAAGTGTAACGTATATAACATATATATACATAACATTAACATCTTGAGTTAATAGTAATAAATACGAATCTATTGGTGTGTAATTACACTCTCGCAACAAAGTTGCTAAAGAGAGTATTATAGTTTTGTTCATATAACGGTTGTTTGTTAGTCCTAAAACTAAAAGAGTCGGATATAGGGTTATATATACCAAANACAGTTCAAAAATGGAAGAAGTCGGACAATAACCACGCCCACCTCCCATACAAAGGTTATGTTGAAAATCACTAAAAGTGCGTTAACCGACTAACATAAAACGTCAGAAACACTAAATTTTACGGAAGAAATGTCAGAAGGAAGCTACATCCAGGTTTTTGCTTTTTAATTGAAACTGGGCGTGGCGTTGCCCACTTATGGACCAAAAACCATATCTCAGGAAGTACTCAACCGATTTCAATGAAATTCGGCATATAATATTTTCTTAACACCGTGATGACATGTACCACATATGGGTGAAATCGTTTCACAACCACACCTGAAATCTCGATTATCACTTTATCATGCGAGAGTATAAAATGTTCGGTGACACCCGAACTTAGCACTTCCTTACTTGTTTTATATAATAATATATCCCCTTGGTATATCGACCAGATACAATTATTTCTAAACAATGCTTGCTAGTAAATATTTATATGTTTATTGAAATATAATACTGTTAAAAAATAAGAAAAAAATTTAATATGCTTTGCACCGACCCTACAATACTCGCTTCAGAAACCAAAATATTCCTTACAAAAACTTAATATTGATCGTTCAGTTTGCATGACAGCTATATGCTATAGCGATTCAATCTATCTGGTCAATTTCGGTATTGTATATTGAAACTAAAGCCTTAAATTGTTGTATGCTTTTTCTACAAGGGTAAAACATAACGGTTGTTTGTTAGTCCTAAAACTAAAAGAGTCGGATATAGGGTTATATATACCAAAGTGATCAGGGTGACGTGTAGAGTTGAAATCCGGATGTAAAGTTTGTTACAAATTGCCTGCAGACAAAGTGCGATTCTCTATTGCTTGTGATTTCTAAAAAAAAATTTTGTACACTAATACAAATTTGTAAGAAATAATTATTTTCTAGTAACATTTTATTTGTAATGTTTTTCTTTAAAAGGTTTCAAGCGACAGAAAATTTTGTCGACGTTAATGGCAGATTTACAGCACTACTTGCAGCCGATACTTTTATTTTAGTTTTTAAATTTTGCGGAGTCGAGAGACTAAGAGTTGTTCACACAATTTTTTACAAGTTTGCTATTAAGTGTATTCTGAGGACAAACTTGAGGTAATTAAAAATGGATCCCTGCCAACTAAACTACGATTTGAAAAGCATCCCATTTTCCTGGGAACTGTAATTTGACACAGAGAACTAAGGTAACAAACGGAATCTGTGAGCTGGAAAATTTGAGAAAATGGGCATTTTAATGTACACATCTTCTAAACAACTACAGCTACAATTGAAAAACTCTCTCTGGACAATTCCTATAAGAACTACTACCAACAGTGTGAACGGTACTGGTAAAAACTATAATATTTAAAGTGCGACAAATCAATAACTGGATACTCCAGGGACATTAGACCCGAGAGTGTAGAGGGCTTTAAAGGAGTCGGTGAAAAAATTGTCGATGGGAGTGACACAGTCCACTTTTATGTGACATCACATATCTCGGGGTGCATTGTTTTCAATCGAATTGATTTTCCAAAAATATTTTTATGTTACCGTGCGAAAGTCAGTGAAATTGGACTACAACTACGCTTACTTCCCATATAAAACAATTTTAAATTTTAATAGATTCTTTCACCAGTTTACAAATGAGGAAGCAATTAATATAACGCCATGAAACTTTGCATGAATAATATATTTAGAGTATACCACCTTACGACCAAAAATTGTTCTAAAGATCTCGATTTTCGAACTTCCTGATAACTTAAGACCGCATATTTTGGCTAACATGTGAGTTATCTCTATGAAAATGAAGAGTGTGTTTTACTGATAACAGTGTGTCTAAATTGTATAAACTTGGTGATGGTATCTTAATGAATCACAGGAAACATTTTTTAATATTTATGTATGTAATGACAAAAATAGATAAAATCGGGCCGATACTTGATCCAGCTCCAATATGAGTACCTCATACGTATCTCTACATATCATGATTTTCGTTTTTCTACCTTATGGCGGCCACCCAAATGTAAATTAAAAGCTGCTGTTGAAATATTATAGTACTAGATTCGAATGAAGAAACTCGCTTTATTTTAAAATTTTTGTATAAAAAAGGGAAAAATGCCACGTAAGCCATCAGTGAAATTTGTGAAATTTAAGGAGACGATGCTGTATCAGTTCGTGTAGCACAACAATGGTTCGCTCACTTCCGTTCTGGAAATTTCGAAATTTCGACTTACACTGATAGAATAATGTCTTTAACGGAAAAACGGCAAAAAGTGATTGACCCAAATGGTACATACTTGTTAATTTATTTATTAATAAAAGTAAAAGCAATACGTTAAAGTTTAGTTAGAAATACGAAACGACTTTTCCGACTACCCAATATTTAGGTTCGCCAAAATAGAAATTTAGGTTATCAAATACACATTTGTCATATCAGCATACTTCACTGACAGAATTATCCTAACTTATTAAGACGTCGCTTTTATTTTCCAGCAAATATTTTGTAAAACTAATCTGACAGAAGGAAATCATTATTGAGTAGTTAACTTAAAAGTAATTTAGGAGAAGTTCTGACAGAAAACATTTCTATATTTTTGTTATCTACTAAACAATGAAATCGCTGACGAGATTTTTTTTGGTGTCTTGAGAAAAGCAAGTGTGGTTGTGATTTGATTTTGCAAGTTGCATCAAGTTTATGAGAAATACATTTTCAGTTGTATATCTTAAAGGACGTAAAATTCATTACAAAGCGGGCCATTTACCTTTAGGCCACAAGTAATTGTACTTCTCGGATGAGTGAATTCAAGAATTATAAGTTATCGAATTATAGCAATTAATTCATCATTTGAAGGCTGAGCAAGCGGATCCAATTGAATCGTTATATGGTATTTACGCCAATAGTCTCTTCGAAAATTGACGCAAGATTGAAATTAAATACAGGGCGTCCAAAAATTAATGATTTTCAAAGTTATAGTTGTTAGTGTTGACCCTGTTCCGAAAAAAGGTACTTTCGGTGAAAACCATAAGTCCTTTGAGATTCATCTAAAATCAATCGGACAAAAAAAAATAGTTTTATAAATGATGGAAAGATTTTTGTTATTTCAAAAATTAACAAAATGGCGGCCTCAGGATTTTTTGGGAAAAAATGAATTGTTTATTGGTCTTAAAAAATCGAAATTTTTGAAAAAAATACAAATCCTTCAATCAGGCCCGAAAAGCTGTATAAATTTCATTAAAATCTACTGAGCGGTTTTCGAGTTACAGTTGTCACCAGTTCAAAAAACATAGTTTTGAGAAAAACGCGTTTAAAGGTTCACATTAGCGCTTTAAAGTGCCCGAGCTCTCTTTGTTATTTGTAGAATAACTCAAAAACTAATTATCGGATCAATGTGATAATTTTCAGAGAATATTTTTAAGATATTACACTTAACGAAAATGCAAAAAAAATATATTTTTTTTTTGAAAATTCTTAATGGAAAACAGGTCGTTTAACGTTTGGTATTATATATATGTTCTTTAGGTAAATTATATTCCGGACAATGTCAAAAATTAATCCAAGTATTCTAAAGTGGATCTGAATAAAAACACGGAGACAATTTCGCTGTATATGATCATAAGTTTTGTCAAACTTGCTGTGCCTTTGCTTTTGCTCCTGCTTGTCTGTCTTGTGAAGCAAAATATAAGAGTGACGATAGACGATATATGTATGTCCTTTATGTAATATAACTTTTATTAATCTTTAATAAGTTAAGCCTTGCCCACTTTAGAAGTGCATATTCATGTAATTTAAGTACAAATTGTGAATAATTTTAAATATTTTAAATTAATCATTTTATTTTTCCTCTTTCCCATTTCAGGCGATTTTATTTTACACACCAAGATGGCTGTGGAAATCTTGGGAAGGTGGCAAAATTCATGCACTTATCATGGACTTAGATATAGGAATTTGTTCCGAAGCCGAGAAAAAACAAAAAAAGAAATTACTATTAGATTACTTATGGGAAAATCTAAGGTTAGTGCTTTATCTAAAAAAAAATGTATTGATAAATTTACGATTGAAAAACAGTTTTCACGTGGGAGCGAATATTTTCTGTTTGGTTTATTCATTAAATAAACAAATAACATATTTAGAATTAGTTCTAAATTCCAAGAGGAAATGTTTTGCAGGTGTGTAAGTTCATATACAGGGACTGTCTCGCACATAATTATTCACTATATTTTGTGCCATATGAAAGCAATTTATTTATTAACCGAAATATACCTCTACTTATGTGTTTACTTTGTTTGTTTTTTAATTAGGTATCACAACTGGTGGGCTTACAGATACTACGTGTGCGAATTACTGGCACTCATAAATGTGATAGGTAAGTACGCAAGCAGTAATTTATAATTCGTTTATTGAAAGTTTCCTCGGATAGGTAGAGTCGAAAATTTATGTTCCCATGTAGTATAATCTCAGTAAATAGAATTTGGGAACAAGTGTAGAAGAGCAGCTCACAATTTTATAATTTCGCAATTTACGCAATTCAATGGTGGTGAAATATTTGCAGATGCTGACAAAATTGTTTATTAAGAGTTTTGTGACTGGATTTTAGTATTCAACAAGACTGCAAATGAATTGTAATTAAATTTAGTTTCTTATTTACTTTTACTTATATTATAGGTCTGAGTTTACTACACTTTGCTTCGAGTCCGAGATATTTATAATAAAATCAACTTAATTAACTCAAATCAGATATACGTAGGGTTACCATATTCCCCGATTTGGGGGGGGGAATTCCTGATTTTGTTTTTAATTATTACTTTTTTTTGAGCGAGTGAGTGTAAAAAAGTGAGCATCACAGATTTACATGTCATGTATCATTCATGGATGCTTTCCAAAACTACGACCGTTAAGAATAGTGTACTTGTTCAATGTAACTTTAAAGAAATTAATTGGAAGGGTTTTCACAAGAATTTCTCCAGCGATAAAAATTTATTTTTATTAAAAAAAAATTGGAGCGTCCGAAAAATATGTGAAAAAAGATGTTAATCAATGACCATTACAATTACTGTTATATGCAGCGGGACTGATTTGGACTGTATACGTATGTGATTAAAAATCAACTAAAGAGGTTAAATTTTATAAATTGGGTGTGTGAGGAAAAAGTTAATAAGAGACTCAGGAGTCATATGTATGATGTTTAATCGAAGGAATATGAGATCTGGGGTAATTTTTGACTAAAATTACACATTTTCGATTACTACAGACAGACAGTTAGCATATATGTATATTATAGCAAGTCGATTTTTATATTTTTGCAATATGTGGCTACAGCCTATAAAASTTTTGTCTACCTAACGGTGGTTTGTATCTCCTAAAAATAACTGATTTGATATAATTTATATATGTAAATGTTCAGGATGACGTGACTAATTGAAATCTGAGTAACGGTCCGTTTATGCAAACGATAACTTGAGTAAAAATTAAGATTGGCGTAATCAGAGAACTGCCACGCCCACAGAACGCCATTAACCTAAAACGTATAAAAAACTATAACTAAGCACTAAACTGAATATATTGTAATTTGGTTTAAGAAATCGCAGAAGTAAGGGACATCTATAGGCCACGATTATGACCTTGTAATAGGCTTAATGTACATATCTCCCATATCCTTCAAGCTAAAGAAACCAAATTCTTCCGAGAAAAATAATTTAACCGCTACTATAAGAATGGATGAAATCTGGTGATAACCCCACCCAAAACATTATCTGTTAAAATTTATTAAAGAGCAACAAATCAACAAATAAATAGAGCAAAGTCATTCAATTTTCACGTGGAATGATGCAATAGAACTTTATAGAAGTCGGGGTAAAAACTTTTATAATAGGGGTGGCTTTGCCCACATTTCAGTGAAACTCCATATCTCAGGCCTACTCCTTCGATCTTGAAAGGAGTCAGATACCGAATATTTGGATCAAAGTTCCAATTGCAGATTTTGTATTTTGTAGAACTATCTGTAGGATAGTTTTAACAGGTTAACTAAGTTTTAGAAGGTCATGATGTATCACACCATTCTGGTTTTGGGCGTCGATGGTTGTTTTGGTTTCTAGACGTAGATTCATTTTTCACCGCCAATCATAATTCGGTGCAAGACGGATTCTCTTTCGTGCCTTTGAAGCAAAATTTCACAAGTGTTTTTACGAGTTTCCATTTGACTTTCAATCAGTTCACACTTTGGGATCTTTTCCATAACTTTCAAGCGGTCTGAAATTGTTTGTTGTGCAAGATTTAGCATGGCTGCCGTTTGTTTTGGCTCAAAGTATCATCTTCTTCCAATATTGCTTGCAGTTCGGCATCTTCAAACTTTTTTGGTGGCCTTCCACGTTCATCATTTCTCATATCACAATCATTAACCGTTGAAAACAATTTTGGCATGTTGTTTCTGATGGAGCGTGATAACCGTATGCCTCGGCAAACATTCGATGCGACTATGTAGTTGGAAACAAAAATTTAATGCTTTCCAAAATTCATCACTTTTCGGAACAACATTTGACATTTCCAACACAATAAAAAATATGATGTTGTTTATTTGACAGAGGTCATGCCAATCAAACAGAGAAAAAATTCGGGCTCGTTTACAACAAATATTTCCCATCAGCATATTTGTATCTTACCACTCACTTAATACCGGTACACCTTTATCTCGTCAAGAGAAGCGCAACTTCGTCCTTTCATGGGTCTCTTCAGTTTAGGGAACAAGAAAGAGTCACAGAGGGCCAGATCTGGGGAATACGGTGGCTGCAGCATCATTAGTGTGTTGTTTTTGGCCAAGTCGCGCACAAGCAACGATGTGTGAGCAGGGGCGTTATCGTGGTGCAAAAGCCAATTTTTGTCACATCTTCTCGGCCTTCTGAGAACATTTTGTACCACCGATA